TCATTGTACCTGAAGATTTTCTGAATCGCAAGGCTGACCAGGAAAAGTGATACAATTTCTAGATGTATTTCGAATCTCCTGAAATTTGCTCCGCACGAGGCTTTCGGATTTATCAAGAGCATCTAAACAAAAGATAAGTTAGTTATTACTTGAATTGGTTTTATTGCCCAACTTCACATAAGTAACTACCTTTACTGTATATTACAAGATGCATGAGATTGGCGGAGTAATTTTCATTATAGAACCGTAGAAGCTCCTGTCTTGTATCCAACCCTTTTTCTTTTGGCCGGACTTCCAGCGTCTCCCAATTCCCTGCAATTCAATTTAATGTATCTATCACATAGAATCAGAAGGTAAAATGTTGTACCATAGATAACTGATTGTAAAAAATACCAATTTGAGAAAGAAAAAAATAAATAAATTGAATTGACATAATAGGCCTTTTAAGTGACACGAAACGACCAGGAAGTTTAAGCTTTCCGAAAATAAGTAACCATGTTTATATATTACCCTATATCGAGACATTTCTCTTTTTAATAAGTTCACCTTGCAAGTGGTAAAACAAAAGTAATTAATAGGCCCTCAATAAGGAGCATTGGTGATTCCATCACGTGTCAGATTTTTAAGAGCCTTGAAACAACCCATGTTTCCTGGTGTAAGTATGAGATTCGAAATTGAAAGTTCAAACCTGTACTGAACTTGTGGTATGGATGGTCTTCCGCACTTAGATGCTTCTGAAGCTGTATGTGTAAGAAGAAAATTCAATCTAATTCTTGAACAGCAAAATCATATAAGAACGTCGGAAATTAAATATTTACATCACAAAAGATAATGTAATTGATGAGTTGATTTATACATGCCTAATATATTTAAATGTATTTATGTTGAAATATTTTGAATGAAAAATTATTTTTTTAGGCACACTGCGCGGTTGGAGTGGCGCACCCACAAAGATATGAGGATGTTTTAATGAATAAGCTCTCATTTAAAACAGGACATTTCCTGAAAAATTAAAAATGTGAGGAAAAAGAATGCCGCGAGTAGCTAATGAATAAGAGGTACCTGATTCATTCTCCAAACATCAGATAATAAATTTTTCTGGTTTTCTGAAAAAAACAAAACGAAGGGGGCCATTTAAATCATCCAAAAGCACATCATATGAATAAAGATAGGGTGTAAGGCCAAAAGCTGACCGGAGTCAACAGCTTTTATTTCCCTCATGGTCGCATCGGCCGACATTAGTGGTTTGATGAAGAATTGAGCGAATCTGAATGTATAAAAGAATAATCAATCCCAAAGTACAATCATTGTTGGAAAAGAAACCACAAAATATGTGGTGATTATATATTTACTACCTGTCCAAGGCTTCTTCAAAGCCGTTGGGGTTAACATCAAAGTAGTAGTTGGTGTGTTCAGACGAAGTGAAAGCATTTGTACTGCCTCCATGCTGAAAAGGACACGTGAAATAAACAGACATAACTAGTTTATAAGCTAGATCATTGTAAGAGTAAATTTTCACAGAGTGCTAAAAAAATAGCACGATAAATACACAAAGAAGGCAATGTACTAAATTAAAATCATGAAATACTAGCAGGTTATAGGCAACAAAAGCAATTGTCCTTGAAACAGATCCATCTCTTAAATTGAGATCTTTTTCGGGGAGAAAGAAATTAGTTCAAAACTAAAAGCATGTATAAAAGATACCTCACTGATGTATGTTGAGTAACTATCCTCCAGTGGATACTTTTCACTCGCATAAAAAAGCATGTGCTCTGCCAACCAACAAGGTTATAATGAGGAAGAAGTCTAATGAACATTGCGGCCAACAATATCCTAATACTCCTATATACTAAGCCAAAGGAATGTGTACAAGTCCCTTAGATCACTGGAAAATAATGAATTTTTCAAGTAAGACGTGTGTGATCAGGGAATCCAAATAATTGACATTAAGAGCTATGTTGTCATCAAGAAAGCAAGCAAAAGCCTCAAGTAATACTACTGATAAAACTGATTTTAACAGATTTTTTGAAAATCCACAATCCAAATTGAGTTTTTAAGAGCCGTTCTTTAGCCTAAAAGTAGTTCAAGTGATTGAACCAATCTAGCCCACTAAAAAAGCATGCAAAACCTACAAGTGCCTCAGGATCATTGTAAGAATTAAGTTCAATGGACTTTTCGAAAACCCATCTCAAAACACTTATGAGTCTTTGCATCTTCCAAATCAGTAAAAGAATCAAATCCAAGCGCCTTTCCAGAAAGCCAAGAAGGTATACTCAAATTAAGAAATATTCTTGCATCTACTAAACTATTGAGAGAATCGAGTTCGAAAGACCCACCAAGAAACATTTAAATGAAGGGCATTCTTGTTGTGCAACAATAGCAGAAAAATACTGCAGTACTAGAAGCATGTCTATACCACTTTCTTAAGAATTTCTCAGGCAATAAAGAATACAAATAGCATATTTATAGGCAAAATCCACTTTCCTAACAGGAAATAGGGGGAAGTCAGACACTTACAAAGAATATGATTAATGGTGAACAAGAGAAGTGGAAAGTTTGGGAGTAGCTGAGGACTGTGATTATCAAGGTTGTGTTTGGTAAGCATATAATCTAGCTTATAGCTTATTTGATTAGCTTATAAGCCTCATGTATTCAAATAAGCTTGGTTTGGTAGAACGAGCTATTTTAAAAAGCTCGAACTTATCTCATAAGCATCCTTGGGTAACTTTCAAACAAGCCAATTGAATTTTTTTTTCAACTAGCTTATTGGCTAATTTTATCATTTACTTTTATCATATATTTCATCATATAAGCTAGTTTTTCAGCTATAAGCTCGAAATTCACTTAAAAGATATAAGCTAGCTTATGTTTAACAAACATAACCTAAGTCAAACTACAGAAACTTATGTAACACTAATATCCAACTCTTGCCTCTTTCGAATCATTGGACGAATAGAAT